TGTTGATCCATGCTCCACTTGCAATGGCTAGTTTTCATCTTGTAGATATAGGAGTCTGTTGAAATAAAACACAGTCCCATAGCTGAAACCGATATATCCACCCCAAATGAGAAGTGCACTGAATAATAGGTATTTGAAAGCCAAGTATACTCCAAAGTTTTATTACGAAAAATGATTATAGATGGGAGCTGCCATACTTCCAACTACTGAAGACCTGCACTCCATAAAAACCCTTGAGTTTCAAACTTAGCTACTGTGTGAAAATGACAACTCTCCTATGTATTACTGTAGAAGGTCATTTTAAATAACTATAGGGCACAGTGATCAGGCTGCAAGCCAGAAATGCAAGATTTGCTTTGTTAGAAAATGTAATGACCTTATTCTAAGTTCTTTCATAAGGACCTTTAATGGATAAAAGCATGGATCATGGCACCAGTCTGTCTGGGTCAAAATCCTAGCTGTGCTACTCATAGTATTTTTAATATTTAATATTGCTTATTTTTTTTCATTTGTTGAATGTTTCTAATAGTTGCACTTATGCAACAGGGCTTGTCATGATTAAAAGGAACAATTGTTCCCGATACCCAAAGTTCTAGTGCTGTCTAGAAGAGTTTCTATTTTTGAAGTTATTTTATGTAAATTCATGTGACTACATATCTTTCACTAATAGTGAGTGTGTTATAAGTATAGCATAGCCGATAACTTGGCTTAAAACTTTAAAATTTTTGAATATTTTAAGTGGCATCATGTAATAATAATTCTATACTTGAACTGAGAAATCCTTACTATTTAAAGTCTCATTTCTCACTAGTTCTATTGACAGTATCAATTTCTTCATTCTGATATTTTTTGAGAAATCAAGTTTGAACCACAAAATTTCCCAAGTCTTAGTCCACTTGCTAATCTGTTATTATAATTGGTAGTGTCTTACACAATCTGTTATTGTAACTGAACAAGGCCCCCCAAATAAGTCATGAATACATAAATTCCATAATGATTGTGAAATATCATTTGCATAAAGAATTCAGTGTAACTTGAAAACTTGAATTGCATTCTTAGATGGCCTTTGAATGAACTAGGCTATTAATAGGTAGGAATTTTGCAAATGGTATGAACAACCTGAAATAGACACAAAGGCGGGAAAACATTAGAAAGATAGAGACGGGCTGTTTCGAGTTTCATAAGCCACATAAACTCACTCAGGTGAAACCTGAGCTATTTCTGAATATACCTCAATAATGATTCCTTTCGCAGATTCTCCTTCTTGAGGTCAGAGTAATGAGATTTAGAGAAAGAATGATGAGCAGAGGCGTTACAGAAATAATCCCGTTAAAGTTTTGGTACCTATAAATCTGAAGAATAATTCCGCAGTCTCTATTACAAGCTAAAAGGTCAGTGGGCTACTGGTTTCCCAGACTTGGTCCCTGAAACTGTCTGATGAAGATGGAGAACCTGTGGCACAATGTGAAAACTGAACAGTTTTATTCAGATAGTTAATTCATTTCACTCTTCACATTCAAGGTTATGAAGACCATTTTAAATTTGCTGTTTCTGTTTTATTTTTTTTCTTTATGTGAATCTAGATGGTAATTTAAGGGCATCTGTAGTGATTTCTGTGGGTTGCCTAAGCAGACTGAGGTATAGCAGTCCCTAATATATGCATTTATAGGGACACACAAGTCATATTACTTTGCAACTTCATTTACAAATTCATAATTCTATCAAAAGTTTTATCTTTTAGGTTTATTTATGGGTCAAAACTAATATATCTGTTTTATAAATTTACCTGTTTAAAGGTGCTTTATCTTAACTACTAACTTGTGAAGAAGAGGTCTCCATAAGAGAGATTAATCAACCTTACCAACAGACCAAATTTAGTGAAAATATATTTGTCTCATAATTAGGCCTTCCAAAGCCTAAAACTTAGAGATTCTTTCTCTGTAGTGTTAAATTCTTTAATCATGTGTGAGACAAAATTCATTAACTTGCACATAATTTTCTTTCATTTGATTAGAAGAAAAGGGAGAATAGCATAGTATAATATTAGTGGTGGAATTAATTTTAAAACTCTCAGAAAATAAGTGTTATTGAATTTTTAATTATGCCAACCACCGAAAGAATAGTTTCTTTTCAAAAATACTTCAAATACAGTAGTTTAAAGGTTTTCAACAGTTTGATATGTTGCTTCAAATGTCTGCCATTTAAAATAACAAATTAGATTTCAAAACTTGATGAGAAAATTGGTTTTGAAGTATCGAACCCATTACTAATCTGGCAAAATTCTTTTCCCTTAACCAAGGGAAAATAACATATTTTGGTATTTGGAGCCACCTTGTGGCCTGATCATCAAATTTAGAAACTATTTTCTGGTTTATGATTCTTTTCCAAGTGAATATTGTTCTTGAGAGCATTGAAACAGATGTGTGTATATATTAAGGACTATAATATGACATTAAAGTAGACCACAGATAAATGTTACTGAATTTTTGCATTTGTGAATTATAATAGATATTGTGCTACAAAAATTTAAAACATTTGTAACAACCTTATGAGCCCAGATTCAATTTTTAAAGAAAATAATTTTTTGTTATGTAGCTGGATGCAAACTCCAGTGACTCTTCAAATGTTTAACTTCCTCAAGATCCTCTAGCATCTTCTCATGTCCTACACAAAGAAACCAATTTCTGTGCTATGTTTATTTTTTTCATTCTATAAGATTGAAATGAAAAGCAAAGAACTGATGCTGTTGAATCCTCGCAATGGAATATGTCTGCAGTGAGTTTATTGGCTGTTCCAAGAGATGAACTGTTTTAAATAAATACTAGAGTAATGTATATTTATGTAGTTTATTACATGTATCCAATGTCAAGCATTTTTACCATATATATTTATCATATATATATTTTAGCATATATATGGTAAAAAGATATATATATATATATATATATATATATATCTTATTATAGACATAAGAATGGGACTCATATTAAGATTTGTCTTGTAATTTAACATGAGAATGCTATGCTTAAAATAAATACAGCTGCTTTCCAGAAGCTGGCAGTGAGTACTGTCTTAGGTATTTGTCTAGTGTACCCATTGTTGACTTACACAGTATAGTCTTAGTCTTCGTTATTTATTATCTGAATGTGGAAATAAAGATAGATGATCAAAATGCATTTTCTTTGTACATATGCTATTGCAAAAATTTCCCTATTTTTGTACATTTATCTACATCTATAGCTATATCTATAGCTGTCTATCTAGATGTATTTATGTTATACTCTGAAGCATTACCGTTATCATCATCATCATCAAAACCTGATAATATTTCAGTCCCAAGATTATGTTGGAACAGCTTTCTCACACTTATTGGTTACAAGAAAACAGCTCCTATATTGCTTTTTATGGGGGGCACAGATTTGGTGTTTTTAAGAGAGTAGGGATCAAAGCAAATGGAAGACAATTTTATAAAATTATAAATCTGTCTTCTGAAGATTATTTCCTTGTTACATGTTTTCAGTGCTCTAAAAAGTTTGCTTACTACTTTGAGTGTGTCAGACTGCCTGTTACTATAAAACGAGTGGTTTGCACATGCCATTTCTCAAGCCTAACTGAAATTACAGATTGCTTTGCTGCCCATTAAGCCATGTTTTTTTGTCACCAAAAGTGCTTTTACTCTTAAACACATTGCTATTGATTGACTTTTATTCTCAAAAGACTGCTTTTTTTCCTATGCAGTGATGCACAACAAGTTTTATTTCAAGTGAACGTACAAAGTTTTTAGTTCAATGCTAAATTCAAGATAGAAACAGAAATTATGTATTTAAGAGTTTAGAAATGCCAACAGGGGCAACATTTTGATCATAGATATATGTATTTAGTGCTCTTGTTTAATGGTTAGATTTGTTTTTATAGAATTACTAGTAAGTGAATAATAATAAATACAGAAACAAATGAATAAAAACAACTTTCAAAATAGCAATAACCAAAAAACAACTCAAAATACTTCTAATTACAATTTTCTGTGTCTCAATTATTGTCTAAAATACAGCATACCTATTGCACAGTAATTGTCCTCAAATGATGACAGATTTTGCTGGCGATTCATCTTCTCTCTGAAACCCTTGTGTAACTAATGACCATTTTTCAATGGCTTTCAGCTAAAAATCCATTGATTATACTTCTTAACTCTTGTCCTCCTCAAGTAGAATTGACTAATTTTTTCCCTATATTTAGTAAGAATAAAGGACTTGGTGTTGGGGTTGTAGCTCAGTGGCACAGAGCCTGCCTACCAAGTGCCAGGTTCTGGGTTCTATTCCCAGTACAATAATAATAATAAATAATGGACTTTACTTTTGATTCCAACTTCATACTACAGAAGATTGTATTTGTTCTTTAAAATCTAATCAAAAAATGTTTTGTGTGTACTCACTTTTTTTGCTTGCAATATATAGTAATTGCATTCATTTTGTGGAATTGGTATGTATAGTATAATTGTATAATTGTATGTAATTATATAGTGTAGTTATATATAACTTTGATCCTTTTGATCCTCTTTACCCTTTCTACTTACACCTTTCTGTCATCCACAGAATCTATTTCCCATCTCCAAAATATCTGTCTTCCTGTTTCTTAAATGTTTGGTTTTTTTTTTTAAATTTTATTCCCTTATATTTTAAGTTTTTCATATAAAAGGAGCCATACAATATTAAACTTTCTTTGTGTGATTTATTTCACTTAACATCATGGCCTCATGTTCCATTCATTTTCCTAGAATGATTCAAATTCCTCCTCTCTAAGCTGAGAGATGCTCATGGCACATTTGCAGCACATTCACTTTATTCATTCCTCTGTTAATGGACGTCTAGGCTGTTTCTATGACTTAGCTACTGTTCATTGGGCTGCTGTAAACATGGGCATGCGTTAATCAGTGCACTATGATGACCAACTCTTTTAGGAACATACATAGGAGAGTTTTCGATAGTTAAAATGGAATTACTCTGTCCCTTAACCAGGGCAGCAGTTTCCTGACACTGTTAGTTTCAAGCAGGAGCCTAAAGAGATGTCTTTCTATGGTCTGTTGGCCGTTTCACAACTTGGGCAGTGACATGGTCAATTCATTAGAAGGAAACAGCTTGAAGCAACACCCCCCTCCCCATGAGCGGCTGTGACTGTGGCAGGCTCCAGTGGCCAAGGATGGGAGCCTCTGGCACTTACTAGGATCAGTGCCATGTTTGGACCTGGAGTCCCAGGAAACCAAGTAACCCCTTCCCCTCTGGTGAGCAGCTGTGACCATGGCAGGTTGTGGTGGCCCAGGACAGGAGCCACCGGCATTTGCTGGGACCAGTGCCATGCTGGGACCTGGAGTGCTGGGAAACCAAGCGACCCCTCCCTCTCTGCCTGTTTTATTTTGTTGAACTTCAATATACATGAAAGTATGAACAGCTGTTTTGAAGAGAACGAGACACTATAAGACAGCCATTTGCAACTTCCCTATTATCTAGTTCTGAAGACCTAAAGCACCTTCCTCATTCTGTTCAGGTCAGTTTTATACTATGTTGTTTTGTATGAATTCTCTGTATGTGAAGACATGAACAACTATTTGGAAGAAAACAAGAGATAATATGATAGACAGTGAAGATCTCAGGTCATCTACTTTTGACATTTGTATCTCTTAAATTGCTTTCTTATGCCCCCCTTTAAAATAAAAATTAAAAAATAATAAAATGGAATTGCTGTTTTCAGGGTTTTGGGTTTTGGTTTTTTTTTTTTTTTTTTTTGAGAAATAACCATACTAATTTCCATAGTGGCCATTCTAGTTTACATTCCCACCAACAATGTAAAGGGTTCTTTTTTTTCTCACATCTTTGTTACTGAGTCTTGGTGACCAGCATTTTTACTGGAGAAAACTGAATTTCAGTGTTGTTTTGATTTACATTACTTTAAAGACCAAAGATGCTGAATGTAGTTTCATACACTGATTGGTTATTTATACTTTTCTTTTGGAAAATGTCCATTTACTTTGGTTGCCTTTAAAAAAAAATTGGATCAGATCTTTTAATTGGGAAATAATTAATTGTTTTGTACTTCTTTGTGTATTCTACATATTGGCACTCTTATCAGAGAGGTAGTTGTCACAATTTTGCCTGCAATCTGTAGATTGTCTCTAATTCTATTGATTGTTTCCTTTGCTATACAGGAAGCTTTTTAATTTGGTTTAATCTTGTTTGTTGATCTTTGGTACCACTTCCTGTGCCTTTGGGTTTCTGTTCAAAAAGTTCCTGCCTATATCTATGCCTTCAACATTTTTACCTATTTGATCTTCCAGCTGAATCAGTATTTCTGCTTTTTGGGGAGGATCCAGATATCTGATTTGATTTTAGGACACATTGATTTTATTTTGGAGCAGGGTGGACGAGATCTACATCATTCTGTGTGTAAATAGCAAATTTTTCCAGCATGATTTGTTAAGAGGCTATCTGTTCTGCAGTGTTTGTTTTTAGCTCCTTTGTCGAAGTTCAGATGGCTAAAGGTGTACCTGGCTGTTTCTGGTCTTCTATTTTATCCTGTTGGTCTGTATGTCTATTTTTGTGCCAGAACAAGGGGTGTGGGGAGGGTTGTTACCATAGACATATAGTATAATTTTATATCTAGGGTTGTGATGCCTCCTCTTTTGCTCTTTTTACTCCAAATTTCTTTGGCTACCCTGGGTCTCTTTTGATTTCACATAAATTTAAGAATTTTTAATAGCTCTCTTAAGACCATTGACATTTTAATTGGAGTTGCATTACATATATAGATCATTTTTGATAATATGGCAACTTGACATTGTTGATTTTCTCTATGTAGGAACAAAGAGTGCTTTCAATTTTCTTATGGCTTCCTCAATCTCTTTTTTCACTGTCTTATCGTTTTTGATATAGAGGTCTTTTATCTCCTTGTTTAGATTGAATCCTAGATATTGAATTGTTTTTGATGCTGCCACAAATGGGATTATTTTCTTGATTTCTTTTTGGTAGGCTCTTATTGATGTATAGGAGCACTATTGATTTTTGAGTGTTGTTTTTGTGTCTTGCCACTTTTAGTTTTTATCTTCTCTAATGGCTGTATTTCACGTTGAGCAGGAGTGGTTAGAGTGGACACCCTTGTCTTATTCTTAACATTAGAGAGTTTGCTTTCTCTTTTTCACCATTTAGCTTCAGCTGAGGGTTTTTCATAAATTGCTTTTGTCAGTTTGGTGTAAGGTCCTTCTGCACGTATATTCATCAGTTGGATGTTGTGTTTTGTTAAGCTTTTTATGTGTCTATTGAGATGATGGTGTGATTTTTATACTTCTATTTATAATATATATTACATTTATTCTCATATAAATTCAATCAAAATTTGAACTTTGCAGTGTATACTGTAGAAGGTGCTAGAAACTTTACAAACCAAGTAACACATTATACTTTCCTCAGTGAGATGAGGATACAGAAGGGGGAGGGCCATTTCCAGTTGAAACTAGCATAGCGAATTTAGAGAATTAGCAAGACCGTGTCTCTTAATAAAATAAAGTAAAATAAAATAAATAGCAGGCTGGTGATGCAACTCAGTGTGAAGGCCTTGATTTCAATCCCCAACACCTAACTAAATAATTATCTTAGTTAAGGTGAAATCACTCTCAGTCATTGACTCTTTTGATATGAAAGTAGCTTTTGGAGAATGCATAAAGTAGAATATGCCCATTTAAATAGAATAGTGGAAGAGAGACTTGAATGATGAATATTCCTTAATTGGAATATTAAATGTGAAATAATCAAATAAAAGGCACAGATCAGCGCAAATCCAAACATCTGACTGACATTTCTGATTGCATTTTTTCCACCTGGTAAGGCACTTTAAGATATGTTTTTCTTAATTTAGGTCTTCCTACAATCTTTCATTTAATATAGTTTATTAATTTTTCCACTATGGAGAAAGGGCAGTATCAGGCAATATGGTGTAGTGAAAATAAGCCATATTTGAACTTCCTGATCTCAAATGACTCCTGATATTTACTCAAGAGCAATTAAATAGAAATTAGTTTAGAATCTGATGAACAGTATGACCACACAGTATCAGGAGAGTTACAGATAAGCGCATATACCAGTATTAGGATATAAGAAAGTCTTCCTTGCTGGATAGGATTAAACTAAATGCTTAAGGGTGTCATACCCTTGTCACTCACTAGTTCAGTGTTTTTCATGTGCTGCCCTATTTAGAGAATCACTCCAATACATAGAGCAGTGAAATGTCCACTGCAGAGGTGGACCGATCTATATAGTTTTACCTCTACCATCACGAGCACACTTGGAAATCTTGAAAGTGGTGTTTAACTTAGCTAAGCCTCTGTATCTTTGTTTAGAATAAATGAGATAAAAATATGGCTGGTTTCTAAGCTCAGTAAAAGGAATAAATGAAGGAACACAATATATTTGTCAGTTTTCTTGGTGCTGAACAAAGTACCTGGTAGCTACAGTTTAAAGGATCAGGGGCTTATTTGGCTCATGGTTTAAGTGGATTCAGTCTATAATTGACTGCCTTGAAAGCAGAAGCATCATGGGAAGAGGGTATGCTGGATGAAAGGTGCTTAGTTCTTGGCCACAAAGAATCAGAGCAAGTAAACATGATGTCAGGATTCATATGTGGTACTCAAAGTTACGCCTCTTAGACCAACTCAGACACACCCATGAGTGTGTTTTACTAATCCCTAGACTGTCCTCAGCACAATCAACTTGGAAATCTAGGTTGACTGTGAAGCATACTTGTGAAGCGCTTAGCAGGGTTGTTTTATTTGTTTGTTTTTATATTTTGCAACTATAAATGCCTACTACGTATTATCAGCCTTTTTATATTTTATAGGTGGGTAAAAGTGAAATTTCATCTACTCCAATTTCATTCTTATTTCTTTTAGATCACTATAGCTCGTCTAGCCCTTCTTTATTTGATATACGAAAGGGAGATGAGTTTTCTATTCTAGAAAAGTTCTCCTTGCTTTGTATATCATCCCATTATTGTGTTAACCACACTAACTTAATTTTCTTCACTTTGTCCCCAGGAACTAGCTGCTAAAATTCATACCTACTTCAAGTAGGTCACAAATGGCATTTTTTTCCTTTAGATGTTCTTTGACTTTTCCAAATAAAACAACTTTCTAGCCCTGAAAAACATTTACTTTTACCTCTCTCTTTTACGATGTGTTGGCCTTCAGTTACTTTTTTTTTTTTTTTTTTTGTCTTTTTCATTTTTATCGGACCGGGGATTGAACTCATGACCGCCTGCTTGCAAGGCAGGTGCTTATGCCGCAGAGCTAAATCCCCAGCCCCTTGTAACTAATCTCTTAAACTAAAATTATTTCTTTCTATTACAATTCTAACCTGTGATAAGCTTTCTTAAAATGTGATGAGGAAATGCCGTTGGTTCTCCTGGAGAAGCTCCGATCCTCACATGGAGCATTGCTTCTTGGCTCCCAAGAGGAAGAAGTGTGCGGCTTGGTCTCCACGATGAACTCATGTTGGCTTCCTGGCATGTACCCAACTGTGCTTATCGTTGGAGAAGCTTGAGGGGCTCCGTGTTGCTGAGAATGGCTGTGGTGCTTTTCAGGACAACCTTGATCTTCGTTTTGAGTTGACTTCTCGGCTCCAGCGTAGAACCCTCAACCTATCAGCACAGCCCGTTCACCCTGCTGGCATAGACTTTTTAGCTTCCACAACTGACCTTTGGGCCTAAGATCCCAGCATGGATCCATAAAAGGGACTGGCATGAGTCCTTCTTGTGGTCTCTAGACCTCCATTTGGACTTGTGGCAGCCATTGTCACAAGCTCTGGGTCTTCATCTGGACTTATATGGGACATTGCTGTAGGATTCAGGCCCCTGGCTAAAATATTATATTATGTCTTTGGTGTGCACAGATTTGCTGTAGTTTCTCGTGTTAATTCTGGGTGATCATCATAAAATAACGTTATAAATTCCATGTCCTGATTTTAATTGTTCTCACATCCCCTGACTACAACATAGACTCAAATGTTTCACTAGCCAACCAGGAGATGTTAATATTTCTCCAGAATACCACCCTGTGTAAACAATGGAATTGTAGTAAGTCACATGTCAATTTCTCT